GGTAGGGGGGTGGCACAGGGTGACGCCATCACATCTCCCCCCCCCCCCAAAAAAAATTGGGTGGGAGGATGGGTGGAGAGCTGCACCCTGGGTGGGGCTGGGGGTCCCCAGTGTCACCCCAGTGTAGGTGGCACTGGGGGGAATTAAATTCTGAGAGCCAACTGGTGACATATGGCCCGGCATGGTCAGACACCTCCATGTCCCCTGGATGGACACCCACAGGTATCCTGGATGGACACCACTGTGTCCCCAGATGGTGGTCCCTTGATGGACACCACCATGTCCCCTGGATGGACATTGGTGTGTCCCCATGATGGACACCCACAGGTCCCTTGGATGGACACCAGTGTGTCCCCTGGATGGACATTGGTGTGTCTCCCGGATGGACACCACTGTGTCCCCTACATGGATACTGGTGTGTCCCCAGACGGTGGTCCCTGGATGGACACCACCATGTCCCCTGGATAATGGGTCCCCGGACACTGCTTTGTCCCCTGGATGGATACTGATGTGTCCCCTGGGTGGCCACCACCTTGTCCTCTGGATGGACACCAGTGTGTCCTCAGTTGGTGGGTCTCTGGCCAGACACCACCATGTCCTCTGGATGGACAGCCGTGTCCCCAGCCAAGGGACACCCTGAGCAGATGCTCTGTGTCCCTTAGATGAGGGGACCCCAGGAGGACACCACCGTGTCCCAGGCCAACGGGTTCCTCATGGGCAGATGCTCCATGTCCCCAAGACCCTAAGGGGACACTGCCACGTCCCCAGCTGCCCATGGGACCAGGCAAGTCCCCTTCTTCCACCGCTTGCCTTCCCTCGCAGAGTGCCCGGCCATCATGCCCCGGTGCATGTGGGGTGCCCGTCCCTACCGGGGCACCCCCACACCGTTGACCCTCCCGTTGGGCTCCGTCTACATCCACCACACCTTCATACCCAGCGCCCCATGCCGCACCTTCACCGCCTGCGCCCGCGACATGCGCGCCATGCAACGCTTCCACCAGGACACCCGCGGTTGGGATGACATCGGCTACAGGTGAGACCCCATCACCTTCACCCCACCACGGTCCCCGTCACCCATCTCCAGCCAGCTCAGGTTGACCCGTGCGTGCTTGCAGCTTCTTGGTGGGGTCGGATGGGTACCTGTACCAAGGCCGAGGTTGGCACTGGGTTGGTGCCCACACCAAAGGCTACAACAGCAAAGGCTACGGTGTGGGCTACGTTGGAGACTTCTCGGCCACCTTGCCGGACCCTGATGCCATCGCCCTGGTGCGGGACAGTCTCTTGCCCTGCGCCGTACGGACCGGCCGGCTTCACCGTAACTACACCCTACGTGGCCACCGCCAGATGGGTCACACCGACTGCCCTGGCAACTCCCTTTTCCATGAGATTGAGACCTGGCATGGCTTCAAGGTGAGCACCAAGATCTGTGGCATCTCCAAGGGTTGGAGGTTTGGTGCCCGGTTGGGGTGTCTGGTTTGTTCTGGCATGGCCAGGAGGATGGGGGTTTGGTGGGGGTGGATGTGGAAAGCGATCATGGTTTCTTCTCTCCTCTTCAGTGAGGACTGACCCCGTGAGTCCTGGTCTGGATGGGTGCAGGCAAGGTTGGATCATGGTCTAGATGGATGCTGGCCCAATGGGTGATGGTCTGGATGGACCCTGGTCCAACAGATATTGGCCCAATGGACGCCAGCCTGGATGGACCCCGGTCCAGATGGACATCAGTCTGACGGACACCAGCCTGGATGGACCCTGGTCCAGATGGACATCAGTCTGATGGACACCAGCCCGGATGGACCCTGGTCCAGATGGACCCTGGTCCAATGGATGCCAGCCCACATGGACCTAGGTCCAGACAGACCCTGACCCAATGGATGCCGTCACGGATCGGCCCTGGTCGAGGTGGACACCAGCCCAACGGATGTCAACCCTGATGGACACTAGCCCAGAAGGACCCCAGTCTTGAAGGCTACCAGCC